TAAATAATTCAATGACTACAACAGTTTTAGATAGCGGTAAGTGCTTGGGAGACAATAAAACAGGCCTTGGTGATAGAGAGTGGGTTTAAGTGTTTGGGCCTGTCTGAGGAGATAACCTTAAACTGAGCCCTGGAAGGTGTGAGAAAGGCATCCATGTGTGCAAGCATTCAGGCAGGGCAGTCCAGGCAGGGAAAATACCAAATACAGAGACCCTGAGGGGATGACACTAAGGACAGGATACACTGAAAAACCCTCCCCCTTCAAACCTCATAGAAAGGCCGGGTAAAATACAACACACATCCTTTCAAATGCATGGCTAGGCTCCCAAAGAGCTATGGCAAAGCCACTAAGATGGAACTGAGCTTTGTTACGTTCAAATAACTGACAGCAGGTCGATGGAACTGGCCCAAGCTGAGCGAGGGGACCAGTAGTAGATGGGCTCAGATGCATCGGTAGGGTCAGCTTCTGTCAGCCCTAGAGGCCATGGTAAGACGCTTGGATTGATTCCAAACCTATTAGGAGCTGTTGGAGGCTTTCAAGCAGCAGAGTGAAGAGCTCTTGTTGACATTTTAAAAGGATAAGTCTGGCTACTGTCAGGAGAGTGGACTGTGGAGGACCAGGAGAGGCAGGAAAAGGAGAGTAAGGCTCCTGCTGAAGGTCAGGGGGGGAGAGTCGCCAGCCAAAGGCTCTGCTGTGCTGTGGAAATTGGGAGAAATGGGTGGCTTTGAGTTGTATCTTGGAAATGGAACTTGCTGAGAGATTGGACATTAAGGGTAGTGAGGGGGAAAAAGAAGAATTGAGGATGAAGTCTTGGTTTGGGACATGAATGTCTGGGTGACTGGCAGTATATCATTTGCTGAAATATGAAGATTGAGGGAGAAACAAGAATTTTCTTTGGTATGGGGGCAAGAAATCCAAAGTTCTATTTTGGACACAGTAACTAAGGTGCCCATTAGGCATCTTTGTGAAGATATAAATAGGATGCTGGAGCTCTGGGAAGAAACAGGCTGCGTTTCAGAGACAGTGGCATGTAGAAACCACTTAAAGTCAAGGAAATACATGAGTCCACCTAGAAAGAACCTGTAGGTAGAGAAGAGGACTGATGCCCAAGATTTCGGGAGTACCAACATTTAGGGGCCAGTCAGAGGGAGAGCCAACTAAGAAAACTGGAGAAAGCCAGTGAGATGGGAAAGAAACTAGCACATGTAGTGATGAGATGTCAAGGGGAAAAAAAGTTGTTCAAAGAGAAGGGAATGGTCAACTCTATGATTTAGAGAGTTCACGTAAGATGAAGACAGACAAGTGGCCATTAAGTTTGGTGACCTTGATGAGCAGTTTTTGTGGAATTATGGGACAGAAGCCTGTTTGGGATAAGAATATTGGATGAGAAAGTGTAGACAGTTGCTGTAGGCCATTCTTTCGAGAAGTTTTGCTGTGTTGGGAACAGAGAAATAGCAGTACAACTGGAAAGACATGTGGAGGTCAAGGAAGGGCTTTCATTAGATGGTGGAGCGAGATGTGCTGATGGAATGACCCATCAAGTAGGGTGAGAGACCATGATGGTGAGGGCTGGATAGAAGGGATAAACACGGGAATTCTGTCTTTGAGAGAAGGAGATGGCTGGGCTCCAGAGGCCATGTGGACAGGTTGGCCTTAGATAGGAGCATGGACAGTTCATCCGCTGTAACCAAAGGGAAGGCAGAGAGATACAAACAGGTCCAGTTAGGTGGGGAGATTCAGGAGTGAGAAGATGAGATGTATGTAGTTCCCTCTGTGTTTGTTTATTTTCTCAAAGGTACAGGAGGTGAGGTCAAGTGTGAGGAGTGGGGTAGAGATTTGAGGAGAGACTGGAAAATGGGACAGTAGTTTTGGAGCCTCAGGGAAAAGCACATTACAAATTAATGGAGAGGGAAATGGGTGGATGATATACCACTTACACAGAGTGAGACCGCCGCACTGCATGGCTGTGTGCACACATACTCGTGCGTGCACACAGCCCCCAAGCAAGAGACCAAAGGAGAGACGTCACAGCTCATGAAGCAGAGAGATCTGCACAGCAGCGAATGGGCTAAACTTCAGCTGGTGGGCAGAAGAGTCTCCACCTGAAGAAACTACATTCTAAACTGAGGAGAGTGGACTCTGGACCAGCTAGTTCTCTTCTAGGTTTAGATCTTATTTGTGGTCCCATTTCCTCCGTAGACTGAAAACTGCTAAACTGGAATCACACTGCAATCTGTCTCTCCACCCACAGATGTGATATTTGGGAGCAGTAAAAGCCAAGGGCAATATTTCTAATACTGCCAGAAAGGAGCCTGAAGTCCTTGGTGAGGCATCTGGAGAAGTCCAAGCAAAATCAAAGGGCCTGAGGTTTTATAGAGAAAATAAAATTATCCAATTTATAGCAATCAGGTTAGCAATAGATCTATACCTACAAAAAGAAGTATGTTGCTTTCCTATTGCTGCTGTAACAAATCACCACAAACTGATTGGTTTTAAAGTACACAGTTTACTACCTTATAGTTCCAAAGGTCAGAAGTCTAAATAGGTTGGCAGGGCTTCGGGAGGCTCGAGGGGAAAATATGTATCCTTGCCTTTTCCAGCTTCTACAAGCCACCTGCATTCCTTGGCTCGTCGCCCCTTTCTCCATTTTCAACGCCAGTGCTGTAGCACCCTCAAATCTCTCCCCAATCTGACCTCGACTACCCTCATTACATCTCCTGTTCTCACCCTGCCTAGCCTCCCTCTCTCTTTTCCTCCCAAGGACCCTTGTACTTGTGTTGGGCCCAGCCATAAAGTGGGATAATCACTTTATCTCAAGGTCCGAAACTTAATCACACCTGCCAAGTCCCTCTGCCATGCAAGATAACATCATCACAGGTTTAGAGAGTTAGGGTGAGGACATCTTTGGCCAGGGAGGGAGCATCATTCTGTCTACCACAAGGAGTTTCCTGCTCTGTTTACCAGTGGGACTTTCTCCTTAGTTAAATAACTTCATTAAAAACAAACAAATACCCTCCTGTTTTTATTTATAAAACTGCATCTTCAGAACTAACTTATTTTAACAAGGACACCAGAGACCTTTCCCTATCCTGTCTTTGCTCTTTCCCCATGTAGCCTGAAATTAAAAGCCTGCATTTGCTTAAATCAGCCATCTAAAGCTTTTATTTTTCATCTAACATGTAAAATAATAGAGTCTAGAGCTTTTTACAAAGAAATCCTTTATATGAAACTCAGATCAAATGCGAACCAGGTATGTTTTCTCTGTTTCATCATAGAATTTCTTCTTCTGAGTTTTAGATATTTGAAACTTGAACTTCTGCTGCTAAAACATCAAGAGTAGACATCCCTTCCTAAAGCTTACAATGTAGTTAATTTAGCAATTCACATCATCCTAGTGGATTAAATTCCCAGAAAATGTCATTTAATCTAAGATTGATATTGCATGTTTACATCATTTGTCAAGAGCAGGTGTGCACAGACATGAGGCCGTGCAGGCTGTGAGATTCTGCCTCAAACCCTGGTGGGGAGGGTTCTGATATGTATCCTCAGCTTTGTGGCCTTGAGGAAGTTATGTCACCTCCAGAATCTCATTTGGCTCTTGTGTCAACAGCAGCTAATTATACTGCTTTCCTGGGGGTGGGATATAGACCACCTGACTTTGTTCCCAAAAAGCCTTATAATAAGTACCAAGCATTGCCAAAAATTAAAATTTTGCTCCATATAATTCATCTACACTTCTATAAATTTCCTCTCTGTTTCCAATTGGATTTGATATGCCTCATTATTTCTCATTTAGAATCATGTTTGACATTTGTTTACAACCACTTTATATTCATTTAAATATAAGACCTTTTCCTTTAGATCGCGAAGAGATTTCTGTTTGTAACCCGTTAAGCTTGTTCTTATTATAATAAAAGTACTATTTGGAAATTTAAAATTTTCTTGATCTATTGGATGACGTGTGCATGTGGAGAGACACCACAACTACCGATTCTTCATAATTGCACTGGTCAGGTGCTGGCGGCAAAGCCATGATACTCTCATAAAGGACCATTAAAAAGAGTTATGTGGGAACGGTTAAGAGAAACCAAAAAGGAAGAAAGCACATGGGAGCTGGTAGTGGAAGGGCATCCTGCCCACCTGTGTCTCAAAGGGCAAGAGGAGGGAAGGGTTGCCCGAACCCGCAGAGAGCTGTGGCTATAGAAGGTTCTGGAGGATAAACACACCCAGGATCTAACCTGCACCGAGGGGAAGGGAGAAGGGAAGCAAGGGAAATAAACACCCTGAGCCCTGCTCCCAGGCCCTGTTCTCCCATCCGTGCTTCCTTTACTCGAACTCAAGTGAAAGCTGGGCCACAGAGGTCCATTTCCTGGCATACAGCACGGTGGGGAGTGGAGAGGGATCTGCAGGAGCAAGCGGAAGATACCCAGCGCAGTGGCCTATTGGAAAAATAGTATCCCAAATTAGTCTATCTTGGCCTTCAAAATTTGATTGTATGGCCCTAGCTGCCTTGGCTCAGTGGTTAGAGCATCGGTCTGCTCGCTGACTGAAGGGTTTTGGGTTCGATTCCAGTCAAGGGCACATACCTCGGTTACCGGTTCAATCCCCGGCCATAGTTGAGGTGCTTCTGGGAGGCCACCAATCGATGTGACACATTGATGTTTCTCTTTCCCCCTTCCACTCTCTCTGAAAAGCAATGGAAAAAATATCCTCAGGTGAGAATTTAAAAAAAAGAAACAAACAAAAATTTGGTTGTATGTAAACCTCCGTGTACCCCCATGCTTAGGCCCTGACCCCTTGGGTCCCAGGCACCCTTCTCAGCACCGCTATAGGTAGTGTTATTGCAGCTGGTGGTGCTGTCAGTGGTACCGAGCTGGTGAGCCCAGATCCGCTCCTCCTGCCGTGAATAGAAAGGTCTGAGGAATGAATTCGAGCGCGGACACCGCAGTGAGTCCCAGCAGGCCGCCTGAGAGGCTCTCACTCCTCCTGTCCTTTTCCAGGATGGAGCTTCAGCATGGGGTCGGCCTACCAGTTTCACAGTTGGCGTGTGTTCGTGATCGTCTGTGCCCTGCCCTGCGTCTGCTCGGTGGTGGCCCTCACATTCATGCCTGAAAGCCCACGGTTCTTGTTGGAGGTAAAGCTTGTTATTACGGATACTCAAGGAAGCCACAGATGTTGCAAAGAGTTTCTTGTTGATTCTAGGAAAGTGTGTTTGCCTCTTTGGGGGTATGTTTTTCCTTCCTACCGTGGAGGGTTGGGGGTCAGAGAGACATGCTTCCAACAACCAGCATCTGAACAAGCTGCCCTGTGGCCAGAAAGCACTAATGTTCTTCCTCAAGCAGTGAATTTCTGCTCAATGAAGAGAACATGGCTCATTGTTCGAGAAATGAAATTTTGCCTCCCAAAGCTGCTATTTCTAGTTATAGGCACATCCATTGAACTGCTAAGGTACTCAGGGATATCCAAGTAGTCTGTATGTTCCAGTGGGACCCACCTAAAGGCATTTGCACAATTACACCCAATTTGATCTGACAATTCAAGGTAGTTATTGGAAAATCAGGGTGTGTAAGTGTTTCACCTTATAGCACTTCACTGTCTACTCACATTTGCTAGGTTGGAAAACATGATGAAGCTTGGATGATTCTGAAGTTAATTCATGACACAAACATGAGAGCACGGGGTCAGCCTGAGAAGGTCTTCACGGTGAGTACTGCCCCTCAGTGAATCATCTGTGCCACGGGCCGGAAACTCTTTCTCAAAAGGCCAGATTGTAAATTCCTCTCTCTGTACCTGCCATTCCTCATAATTGCCACTTTACCTACTCCTGCGCACACTGCTGTTATATGTGCTGTTCCCTCTGCATGAACGTCCTTTGATTCTCCTGTTACAAAGTTTATTCTCAATGGGGAAACTAGTGTAAATTAATGAAAATTGGGTGCATGGAATTTTTTAGAAGGAACATGTTTTTAAAATCTTTTGATATATACAGCATAGAGTTAGATGAAAATGTTTTGTCTAAAATAGGTGTAAGAGTACATACAGTAAGATATAAGCAGGACAAAAGTAAGATCTTCAGTGTCTTACAAATAATATCAAGTATAGTTCTTAAAATGTGAACTAGTCCCTGATTAAATAGTCCTCTGACAGCTAGCTTAGTTATTTTATTTTTATTTAGGAAATACATTTTTCATAACGTAAAGACAGAATCTGTAATGGAGGACCTGGAAGCCTTTGAATGGGCCATTCTGTTGAGTAGATGCACAATAGAGGAAGACTATTTTTAAATTAAAGGATCATGAGGCTGGGAGAATCTTGAGACTTTAGCTGGATACTCAATAGCACTTAACCCTTTCAGCCAGATGAGGGTAAACCCTTTACCAAAGACTTCTGAGAAGATGTCTCTGTAGGGCCCCATTTCCCTGCTTACCTGCTTTTCTTCCAGGAGATTAGAGTGACCGAGTTCACTCATGATCATCCATGCTAATGTAACTATATAAGGTTGGAACAATCCAAAAAAAAAATGGATAATCTCAAAGTCATTTATATGCAACTTATAAAGTCATGACTTGATTCTACCCTGAAAGTTTGTCCTTTCCCTTGCTATATCTACAATACACTGAGTGCATGCATTCCTTCAAGGTCTCCTTTTTAAGCTCTTTTTCCTATGCCCCTGCCTTAAATGTTGTTTTCCAGAGCTTTATTTTCTCATTATCCGATCTCGCTCACTTCTGCCTCTCTATCACCTAATGCACAGGCTCCTGAGCTCCAGACATGCATGCAGAAGGGCTTTGTGGCCGCTGTGCTATGTACTATAGGCCCTTTAAATTCTGAATTTCCAAATCTGAACTTTCCACCTGAAGAGTCTCCAGGCCTCTTCCTTGTCATAAATTCTATCAGCAAGTACCACCGGCACCACCCAAACTGGAGCCCCAAAAACTATCCTGTTTTCTTCGTTCCTTTATCTTCATTATGTATTTTTAAAAATCTCTCTGTCCTGTTATTCCACATCCTAAATATTATTCAGCATTGTTCCTTACTTTCTACCCTGTTACTGATTTGGACCATCCCTTTGCTCCTGGACGATTCTTCAGGAATGCCAAACTCTTTGAGGACGTCTAATACACTGTTTTTCCCACAGCCCTGCATCTTTGCACATGGTATTCCGCCCACCTTGAACGGCCTCCGGGTAGTTTACACAAATGGCAAATGATACACTTCTCCATGGACTCCCGCTCACATTCCACAGTCCATGAAGCCACCCCCCTTCCCTCTCACCCCCAGGGCAGCTTGGGGGTTCTGTACAATATGTCCCTCCCATCTGGCATAGACTTCCATCAGAGTACTTTCTGCTTTGTACTGTTGTTACTTGGAGGGTGTGATGGTTGATGTTTGTATCTCTGAGGCCTGGTATCAGGCCTGGCACCCCCAAGGGTGCCAATGAATTAATCAATAGACACCGATGAGTGGAGGAGAAGAAGCTTCCCAAAAGTGACATGTCAAGTGATAAGAACACCGTGTGATTTTATTTTTTTTTTAATTCTAGATAGAGTATCACAAAATAATGTCTACATGGATTATTTTGAGCTGCCTCTATTTAAAATCCCATATTTAGTTCAGACACTATTTTTGTTAAATACAAACATCTTTGTTTGCATGGTCAGGAAGAGGCTACCGCCTTTCTGGTATAATTTGAAAGATACCAAGTGTCCCCATCCAGATCACCTCCATCAAAAGCCAACCTTGGTACCTAGATTCTCACAATAGAGGTGCTGCTTTTGGATGTTGGCAGAATCTCCAGAGAAAAAATATCTGTTCAGAGTTATCCCTGGCAGGGGTAACATGTGCACATTTCTGTACTTCTCTCAGATTTATCAAAAGCAGGTAAATGTTGACTCCCAGGATGAGAAAGGACAGAGCCACAAAGGATCCATTCTTCCTTTTCTCTCTCTCTTTTCAGGCTTTATTCTCAGTTTTGAAAGCATTGCTTCTCCTTACTCGTGGTTCTTTTCCTCAGTAAAAGGAGGCTGACTTCAGTCATAGATACAGCTTTTCATGCCGACCCTCCACCATTCGCTCCCCTTCTGTAGAAGCTGATGAGCCAGCATCGGTGCTTGCCATCAGAGCTCATTCTCTGACCTCGTACCATGGGCACCTGTAGGCATCTGCTGGCCAGTCACTGTGGGCTACGCTGTGGGAGGAGGAAGAGAGGGTCATAGTGATGCTCCAAGAATAAAAGTGTGATGGGAAAGCTTTAAGAACTATGGTTAGGGGCCAAATTCATCAAATTTGTAGGTTATAGGCACATCAAATAAGTAGGTTCCAAAGAAAAGTATTTACAATCACGTTAGTCCAAGCAAAATAATTCTTAATCCAGAAGTTAATCTGGATGTTTTATCTGCTATGTGTCTCTGTAGTATGTGTCTCTGTAGCAATGATTCAGAGAAGGGCATTTTGGTTTATACTATTCTATTACTACTTGCCCTTCCCCCATTTCTCTATGGTGTTCCCTCCCACTCATTCTTCATTCCGTTCTGTTAGGCGCCATTTGGGTCTGTATACTTACGCCAGCAGTCTCAAATATGGATGGAGTGATTACCAAATACCTGCTTTATTGTTGGCGTAAGCTTTCGCTCCTTTGAAAACGAATGGTAAACCTAAACTGAGCAACTTCGGAGATAAGAACTCAGCTTTTTGCCCTCTGTTGCTCTTTACAGGTAAATAGAATCAAAACCCCCAAGCAAATAGATGAGCTGATTGAAATCGAGAGTGACACAGGAACATGGTACAGAAGGTGCTTCGTTCGGATCCACACAGAACTGTATGGAGTAAGTAACAAGCCTGCCCTGAATTATTGGCCAACTTGTTGCATTTGAGGTTAGTCAAACGCAGGGTTGACTAGCAGTTCCATGAGTGGGGTTCACCCCCCTCTGCCCAGGACACTTGACTCCTGGAGTAGGATCGGGTGATAGGATTCCCTAGGGATCATCGGGGTAACTGAGACATTCCATCTTTGGGAAGGGAAGGTGTCTTGGCAATGACGGGTACACTGAAGGCTTGAGTTCCTTTCCCCATTGGCCTCCAGGAAGCTGATAAACGAAAATTCTAGTATTTGGTTTTCTATAGCCTTTAGCTTTTACATTTTAAGTTCAGATGAAGTCAGTGCAAAGAAAACTCAACTTTTTAATAATTTGTTGGAGGGAGTGGAGAGTGGGGTTGGCTAGATAACTGTATAAGTAAACTCACTCTCTAATATTTTGCAGATCTGGTTGACTTTTATGAGATGTTTCAACTACCCAGTCAGGGACAATACAATAAAGCTTACAATTGTTTGGTTCACCCTGTCTTTTGGGTAAGTGATATTTAAATTCCTGGTGAGTGAAATCTTTAAATTTCCACACTGTAATTCCCAGCCAGTCATGCTGCTTTCTTTTCTTATACTCTTTGATGCTGTTAACGTTAAGGAAAAAAATTTTTCCAGCTTAGATTTGCTAACAATTACGGTTTTATAAACCAGTCATTTCACTTATCTTGTCATAAGCTGAAGTGCAAAAACAAATAGTATTTGGAAAGTCCGGTAAGACCCTGGATGACTTGTCCCCCATGACTTCTCCACCCTTCCCTCATGACTTCCCCGCCCTCCCCTCCTCTCGTGCTTGGCCCCAGCCACACCAGCCTCTTTGCTCTTCCTTGAACACGCAGGAATAATAGTCTGCACTTTCAGGTCAATAGGATCTTGTGTCTGGTGGAGCCCCACATTTATGCTGCAAGCTCCATGCCCTAACATCCCTAAATTAAAACAGGCGAGTAATCAGGTGTGACCGACCTTTCCCAGCGCTGTGAGCTGTAATAAAGGGGGAAGCAAGGAAAGGGATGGTCAGGGGACCTCGCATCTTGTTCTGCGTGTGACGGGGACATCACTAAGTTTTAGTTCCTCATTTCTTAGTTGAGAGGGTTGATTCAGAATATATAAAGTAACTGCCACCCAAGTTCTAGAAAAGCTATTCATCTGTGAGGAGAAGGGTGAAAGTTAACGTGTGTTAAGTGCCTACTGTGTGCTAAACTCTAGGCTAGGGGTTAAGCAAGAGGAAAGTTTACTCTCAAGATGTGAAGAGTTAACTTAATAATAATTATCTGGTTTGTTTGCTTTGTTTAATAATCGCTTATTGACCACATTTTAAACTTTGTGATTTCCTTATTGATGTCCCCGAAACCTTAAATGGTGCGTAGCATTTAGTGGACATTCAGTAAATGTTTGCTGAATAAATGAAAACTGAGCTGAAACTCCTCCGTGTCATTGAGTACAGACACTCCAGGGAAGCGTGCTTCCTCGTGGTTACTACTTTTAAAGTTTTTGTCCTATGTATGTGACTAGAGAGCAATGCTATAGATATTACATCTCTGAGTCATTTCTTAGTCAGTGGCCACCACTCATGCATTCACAGTAATTTAATTCATGATCTGTGAAGAGAAGAGGTTGGAAACTATGGAATCCTGAGCCAGTGATGTTTCCAGAATCCTAATGACAATGATGATAAAACCACACATACTGTCTTTTGAGCACTTTCTATGTGCTAGGTACTTTGCAACCCATTTAATCTGAGCAACTTCCCAGGAAGGTGGATGCTATCCTCAGTCTGGTATTAGAGATGGGGTAACCGAGGCTTAGAGAACAGGCTGAAGATCACACAGCTGGTAAGTAGTAAGGTCAGGATTCGAACCGAGGATGTCTACCTGTCCTAGCAGGATAAACCAGAGCAATGGTTCTCAAACTTTAGTATACATAGGAAGAATCACCTGGAGGACTCCACCCCCAGACTTTCCGATTCAGCAGGTCTGGATGGGGCCTGAGAGTTCGCATTTCTAACAAGTTCCCAAGTAATGCCAATGCTGCTGGTCCAGGGAGCCCACTTTGGGAACCACTGTTTTAAAGGATTGTTGTCCAGTTAAAACATAATGTGAGCCACACTTGTCACTTTAAATGTTCTGGCAGCCACACTAAGGTAAAAAGAAACAGGTGAAATGAATTTTAATAATATATTTTACTTGACTCATTATGTCTAAAATAATATCCTTTCAACATATAGTCAGCTTAACAATGATTAAAGACTTATTTCCCTTCTTTCTCACTGGTCTCCCAGTGTGATGTTTTACACTGCAGCACACCTCGGCTTGGACTCGCCACACGTCTGCTGCTCGTAGCCGCCTGTGGCGAGTGGCTGCTGTCCTGAGAGCAGCAGAACTCAGCTGCTACCCGTGAGAATGGCACGCGTGAGGCCAAGAGGCAGAAAGTGGGAAAGATCTGGATTTTCATATAATCGCCTGAATGGCCCTCTTCCCAGCCTTGAACTGCTTTGGGAAATGGGGCTCTACCTCCCTGCTAGCGGTAGAAGAGTAGTGTAGGAACCAAGGATTCTCCACCGTAAAAGAGGTCATTCTTCAAGGGCTCTCATGGCGTCTGGACACCAGGAGTTTGCACCGGCAGACTAGGAGGCAGGGCTCCTCGGTGCGGCCTGGGGCGGTGGGAAAACTTCAGGACCAGGATGCCGCGTTGGGCAGAGGGTGGGATTCTTGTGCATGTCTCCTCCCAAAGTGAGGCTTTGGGAATTATATACCAGGTAACCCCAGGCCTTACGTCTAGCTGGATTGTTGCAGACCTAATCTTCATGGGGAGCGAGCAGTGCAGATTACTGCTTGATGATCCATAGCGCTTTGTGGGGCCAACTGTCAGAGTATTTCTCCGGAGCCACTACGTCTCTGAGAGTGTCTGGGAGGCGGGCATTGCCCCTGGTGTGCTGGCACCTTTACAAACTCACATTTCTTTGTCTTTGCAGGTATTATGGGTTGTCTGTTTGGTTCCCTGACGTCATTAAACATCTGCAATCGGATGAATATGCACGACTAATTAGAAATGTGCCAAGAGAGAAATACGCAAATTTCAGTATTAACTTCACAATGGAGAACCAGATTCATACCGGCATGGAATACTACAATGGCAGGTCCAGAAACTCTGAAATAACTTAATATGCCCCCGTTCACAAAAACTGATTCCTTACTAGCCTTCGCTGCACTGAAACGTGTAGTTTCTGTGTATTTTTAGTTTTTGCATTTAGTCATTTTCTGGCTGAATGTGAACGCTTCCAAATGGGCCTTAAAGAAAAGGGATCAGTTACTTCACTTAAAAGTACTTCTGAAACTGAGCCGCTTCGCATTTGTTAAGTGGTGGAATTGACTGGTATGAAACAAAAATTTAGAGAGACCCTGGAGAGAAATGAAAATAAGTTACAGAAGGGGAGAATGAAGAGTATGAGAAAATAAAATGGGTTATAAGGTTATTTAGTTCAGAGAAGAACCTGAGGTGTAATTTGTTGCCTGTCTTCTGTTCCTGGAAAAGGGGACCGCTTGTGAGAATTCCTTTCTTCTCCACAGCGCTGAATCAAAAATTGGGGTTAAATTGTATCAGAAAGAGCTTCAATTAGAGAACAGGAGTGACTCCCCAAAGTTAGGGCTTTGAAAATAAGGAATAAATTAGCAAAGGGCGTTTTTGAGAATAGAATCTGGAATCCTCTTGATGAGGACAGAGCTGGTTCAGGGAGGTGATTCTGGTTCATTCTTTCAGAAAGACAAAGGGATGGACAAGGTTATTATTTGTTGTCTGAGCAAATACTTGCTGCTATGAGTTCCAGTGGTTTATATCATTCTTAGAAAATTGTCCCAATTTCAAAAATAATAAAAGTAAAAAGCTAACATAGTCAAAGTTTCCCAGGGCAAAAACCAGTTTGGAAAGATGAAAAAGAAATCTATGGGATGTTTATGGTTTGTAATGAAAAGAATTACAGCTAGGAGATAATTGTTTGAATTGACAATTCAGTGAGGGGCCTAATTTTAATCCCTGGACCCTGAGAGCAGGGGGTTGACGTAAGATTCTTTTAAACTGGTGGGTCTATTAGGCCACAGAGCACAGTCAATCCTTAGGGTGAGAACAATTTTGAAAGTACTAAATAATTAGTGAGTGCTTTAGGATCAGTCCCTTTCTGCCCCCAATAAGAGTGGTGTTTGAAATCAAAACTTCTTCCTCAGCTGAACAAGCATCTTCCCCCAGCGACTGTCTAAGTAGATATTCATAGTCCCCTAATAAATTACAGAGACATTTGAATATTTATCCATGTCTCCTGGGAGTCCTTATCAACACGGACAAATCTGAATCAGAGACTCTTCTAAGGTGTTAAGATCATTATGACTGTTGACATTTTTACCACCTAGGGTTCCCCCTTGCAGCACCCAAAACTGTGTATGAGCAGATTTCATCATTCTACACATTTCCAGAAATAAGCAGAGCTCTCATCATTCCATTTGGTTCAAGAAATACCTGTTGGCCCTTGCAATGAGTGTGACCTATGAGTTAAATGACCTCTGCGTCAATCATTCCTTATGTAAATGATGAATTTTCACATCCTTTCTTCAGGATAATCCCTACACTAGAATGAAGAAACCTTTGGTTTTTGGCTTGGGGGACAAACTTCCTTTAAAAATGTGTATGGGAACACATCCTCCAGTCAGAGCCGTTAACCCCAAATAGAGAATTTTCAAATAAAGGCATATGGGAAGGAGCAAGAAGATAGGATTGAAAAATAAAGAATTAATAGCCACAAGTAATCTCCAATTTTTCTACCTGCAATTGCAAACCCCCCAAAAAACTTTTAGCAACACTGCAAAAAGCTATCTTGCAGTTATCAAGGAAGTTATCTTGAATGCCATCTCTTCTTCTGGTAGGAAACAATCTTGGCGAGCAATGGATAGCCAAAGGACAGGCTGCATGAGGAAAAAGGGGGAAAGCAAGAGCTTAGAAAACCCAGAAACTAATGTCCTTTCAAACTAAAAGAGCCCACAGCGGGGCTTCCCAACCCTAAGCCTGTTTGAATTAGCTTTGAACCCTTATGGACAATCATTGATGTGAATTTTGTGTGTGTGTTGAGCAGGTTCCTAGGGGTCAAGTTCAAATCTGTAACCTTCAAGGATTCAGTGTTTAAGGCCTGCACCTTTGAGGATGTGACTTCAGTCAACACCTACTTCAAGAACTGCACATTTATTGATACTGTTTTTGACCACACAGGTAGGTGTGCTACTTAGCTCTGCAGAGGGCCTGGCGTTTGGCAGAAATGGGACACCCACATGACAGTGTGCACAGAGGCTTATGGGGGAAATGGAGATTAAAGTATAAATGAATGGATTCCCTAAATCAGATTGGATCAAAATTAAGAGTGTATTGTTTGTTTTTGACATTTAAGGCAAATGGGACTTGCTGAAGTTCAAAGCTGAAAAATAAATGGTTTGGTGAATAATTTTTAAAGCAAAGAAGTAACCTGTAGTTTATTTGTTGTGATAATCTTGGTTTCTAAATCTGGTGTTTGTTTAAGTCAGCATGCCCGAACTACAGTCAGCAGAGACGGCGAACATATGGCTGATTCATGCATATTTTGAAACAAATTGTTTTTGTAATTGTTGTATGGAAGCTATTAGCGCTATGATGATAGTCCTTATATAACATGATAATTAGAACGAACTAACATCATAAAGCAGTAAACAAGTAATTAGCCATGGCCAATCAAAAGAAATCAGAGGATAACTGGATTCTTTAACTTATTCCTTTTTTCAACAAAGGTATTCCTTCATTCTGTAGCCGTGCCTCACATTGAGGGGATTGGTTCCAGGACCCTCATGGATACCAATATACACACCACAAATGCTCAAGCCCCTTATATAAAATAGTGTGGTGTTTGCATAACCTACACACATCCTCCCATATACTGTAATCATCTCTAGGTTGCTTATAATATCTAACACAATGTAAATACTGTAAAAATAGTTATTATACTGTATTATTAGGGAGTAACAACAAGAAAAAAGCCTACAACAAGAAAAATGTCTGTACCTGTCCAGTACAGATGCATTCATCGCAAGCCTAACTACACAGGACACGTCAGCAACATCACTTTTTCCAACCCACAGAGGCGGAATCCATGCATACAGAGTGCCACGCATACTTTGTAATGTAAAGTCCTAGACCCTGTACCTTGTCCGGGTAAAGACACTAAAAGTCAAACCAGTCCAGGCTTTGAAGCCCTCAAGGAGTTTACAGTATCATGATTCCTTTCTGAATTCTTGATAGATTCTCTTATCCTGGTGTACAGCTCTTCAGAGCTTGATGAATTATCTTTCTTTATGTTCACAGATTTTGAGGAGTATAAATTCATTGACAGTGAGTTTCAAAACTGCTCATTTTTTCACAATAAAACGGGATGCCAGATTACCTTTGATGATGACTACAGTGCCTACTGGATTTATTTTGTCAACTTCCTGGGAACATTGGCGGTGTTACCAGGGAACATCGTGTCTGCCCTCCTGATGGACAGAATCGGACGCTTAACGATGCTAGGTATGTGCTTAGTTTCCTGTAAAATAAAAGAGCTGCCCTGCAGTCTAGCGGGAGCCCTTTCCCACTTAGGGATTTGCATCCCAAAGAGATAAGAGAAATCCCTTAAGACTTTTCATTAAGACAACATTTTAGTGAAAATTATGTCTAATTACATTTCATTTGAGCAGCTTCCATGAGTTCACAGCCTGGAAAACTAATTATGTATGACTAATATATATTTTTCCACTTAAGTAGCTGAGTAATTGATGATGTGCATTTCGTGCTTGCCGTGTTCAGAAGGCAGTTAGAGAGGCAAACCTATCTCCAGGTGAGCACACCCACACCTGAGCTTCACCAAGCCCAGTCTGGAGCTTCCCCTGGGATTTGTGCTGCCTGAGACCTTGAAGACCCAAGGGCCTTTGCTCTACCAAGACGAGGGGAAACATCCCAACCTTTTGTCTGTTTCGTCGGCAGGTGGCTCCATGGTACTGTCAGGGATCAGCTGTTTCTTTCTTTGGTTTGGCACCAGTGAATCCATGATGATAGGGATGCTGTGTCTGTACAATGGCTTGACCATCTCGGCCTGGAACTCCCTTGATGTAGTCACTGTGGAACTGTACCCCACAGACCGGAGGTATGTTGAAATGGGCCTCAGAAGAGGCCCCCCACAGGACCACTGAAAAGGCATAGAAAATAAACCAAATTGTCATGTTTCCAAGAAAGTAAAAATTCAAAAACATCTGGCATATGAAGTTGTACGTTTCACTTGTATATATTAAAAGGAAAATGTTGGGGAATGTAGTTGCTAGCAAGAGTTAATAGGACAATTGTTACTGGGGATTTGGGCTCTCGGTTCTCGACTTCATGCAGGAAAGATTTCACAACACAGTCCAGGTGATTTTGAGAGTATAGTTTATCAAAGCTGGGGACAGTGAAACAAAGGAAGGGCTTAAGATAGAAGAGGCGACATCATAGCAACAGGAGTGAGCCTAGGCGGAGCTGCCTTGGCCCTTTGGAAATGTGAGGAATAGTACAGCTTAGGTGTGGCTGCCTTGGCCCTTTAGAAAGAAAGTCACAGAGGCAGAAGAAATGAGCCAGCTGGGCTGCATGGACTCAGGAAACAAGTTACTGAGACAAAAGAAGAGCCCTTGGAAAAAGAAAGCAAAGATACGCGCCTTAGGAAAGAGGAGGCAGGGGAGGCGAGGAGGGGGTGCTCTAGAGAGAGAGAGAGAACGCAAGTGTGTGCATGCTGGGTCTTTTGTCTGTTTTCTAAGGGTTTTTATCTGTTTTCTAAAGGCAGAATTTTAGGGGAGGTCTCGGGGGAGGATCTCAATAGAATATTTATCACCTTTCCAGGTGTGTCCCTTCAGGGTTGGTGTCTCCACTGATTGGTTGGTGCTAGGGTAGGAAGTCATTATTCATTGCATGTGGTCCTGATGTCAGCCGTGGTGTGGCTTCATCTGGTTTTGCTGCTTTTCCGGGCCTGAAGCTGAAACATAGCTGAGGCCTAGATGTTATCTCTAGTTTGACAAAAACTCTGTCTCTGTAGTCAACAGACCAGAGACTTAGTTCCTAAGATTATTCGATGCTGATCAGAACCTCATTGTCCTGAGGGCTTACGGCTTAAGGGAGTGGTCATGCAAGAGAGAAGGAGGCAGGTGAGGCAGGGTGCTGGATGAGGCCAGCTGGAATCAGCTATCTGTCTCAGTTTCCCCATTCCACTTGCCAAGGAATTCTCCTGGCTTCTTTCTATCCTGCCTCACAGTGAAACCAGTGAGGGAATGTAATTGTGTCCATGACTTAGTTTGCTGACTAACAGTGTGGAGAAGCTGTAATGGGGCGGTGAGTAGGATCTAATAGCCTGTCTTGGCCCACATTCTGAGCCACTAATCAGTCTTGAGAGGGTCCTTACGTTTGCAAGTGTGTGCATGAGCTCTTCATTAAGCAACCACAAATAGGTCTCTAGAAGATATCTCTTGACCTTCCTGGTCTGTTGGAGAAAAAGCCCAACACATTTCCAGTTACCAAAAAAGATTACTCTTAGAAGAACATTATGTGTCTTGTCCCAAAATGGAGACACAGAGACTTTGCACCTCATATCAGAGAAAGGGCTAGAAGGGACTTGGGGTAGAGCTTCAGCAACTGAATAAAGAAAAGAACAGAAGTCCTGTTCTGCCCCTTGACATGAGAGAAGACAAATGGCCTTGCCTTCTTTGGTTTTTGTGTGTGCTTTGTCACCGTGGAAGCCCTCTCTGCTCAAGGGTAGAGTCAGCATTGTCTGGACTTTGAAATGGAGGAGGGTTTTCTCGGGCCATGCAGACACATTCGGGATATCAATTTTCTGCTGTTGTCGGAAAGGTTAACCGTCAACTAAGATAAAAACAGAAGTTGCTGTTTGATGCTAGTTCATGTCTTCCAGGACACACAGGTCAAGTTAGGACTAAACATGCACAGGGTTGATTAGGGGAAGTGCCTCATGAGAGAAAATGGGGAGGTGGAGTCTGGGACAGCCCCAGAAGGAGCGAGGATGGGTGGTTGGGTGGAAACATCCCAGACCAGCGATCTAAGGAAGGTCTGCCAAGGCTGCTGCTGGGGAAGAGGGATGACAGTGTCAGCTTCAGAGGAGTCCTGCGTGGCCCAGGGACCAGTCCGTCATAGCATTCCTGTCATGTTCAGTTATTGGAACATCAAAACGTGGTGATGAATTTCAGAGCACGGCAGCCAGGCGGTGACTCGGAGGTCTGCAAGGTGCTGCTGCTGGCGGACATGCTCCAGCGCTTAGGCAGATGCGATCAGGTAACGCGCAGGTCCTCACTTCCTTCAGTGCTGCAGAGAGAGCTGGTCCTCCAGAGCAGCATTGCCAGGCCCGGGTGGTGTAGCGAGGACCACCCGCTCTGTTTCAGGCTCAAACCTTCTCTTCCGTCTCGGCCATGTTGCTCTGGTCACGTCAGGAGGCCTCCGCTGACCTCTGGCTCTGTTGTTAGAGGATAACCCCAACGGTTTCATGGGCAAATGCCCTGTAGTCTCTGTGTGGAGACAGAATAGAAGGTGTCTTGGCAGGAACTCCGGTTAGAGGCTGTAATGTCTCATAATAGAGCACCAGCACTGCCAAGCCCTTGTCCAGTTTCTGGAACCCATCCTTAAGGATCACAGTACCCCCTATCTTTCAGCTGCCAGCTCCCCTTCCCCATGCAGCACAGCCTGTTCGAGGATCTCCTCCCCCTCTTCCCCACCTTCTCCATCAACAGTGCGGAGAAGACCGGACTTCAGGTGCAGGTGCTGCCAGACAGTAGCTGGGTAGCCTTAGATTAGTCCTGTCAGCTTTCAGTCTCCTCCTCTGAGAAATGGAGGGTGAGTCAGGCACTCTACTGAGTATTTAGATGACGTCATTTGACCTTATTTAACCCTTACTCCAACCCTACAAGAGTAGGTAGGTTTATTCCATTTTCAGGTGAGGAAAACAAGGCACAGACAGGGGTAGTAACTTGTCCTGGATCACATCACGTGGCCTCAGACTCAGATGTCTGACTGAGGTGCTGTTTCCAATGCAGATAAATCTAACCCGTCCCGGTAGGTCTGGGGCGAAGGTCTAGGAATCTCTTTCTAGGAAGCCCACTTGGCAACTGGGATACACAGCCATGTTCATGAACCTTTGCCTTAAATGAACTTCAAGTTGCCTCCCAATGCTCACTTTCATCCCCTCTTACTTACCTAGGCCCAGGCCCTCACTTCCTAGCTAGGTTTACCAGATAAATGATAAGACACAAAGGCTTCCGTTATCACCTGTCTGTGCATATTTGCATTTCAACGGGAATAAGCACTAGGAAGCTGGTGGTGGCGGTGGGGCTGGGAGGGAGATGGAGGGTGCATTGGGCCTAGAGGTTCCTCCAGCTCACAGCTGATGGGTAAGCCCTTCTCCACTTGCTCTGAGTGAGAGCCCTGCTTGCAGTGGTGTAGGATGCATCCTCCCAGGTCAAGGAGTACACACACGGACCTCACACACACCATACAGCCACTGCTTTCCTGGATGAGACAAACTTCCCCTTTCTTTGAAGACCAGAGAGCAATTTGGTCTTTTCTGACTTAAGAATATTAGATTTTTTCCCCTCTGGAAAAGCAAGTTGATAATTGGGCAACAATAAACAAACATGGCCCAACTAATGCCCATTAAAATGTCCATTATAGAAATCTACTTCCAACCTATTTTAAAGACACCTGGAAATCCCTTAGTTCCTTCCCCAAATGTCATATGCTTCCTGTGCCAGTTCTGAAAGGGGTTGTGCTGAGTGAATGTAAAGACTGCATGGCCACATCCCAAAGGTGTGGCCAGACCTAACTAAGGCTAACTCCAGACGGCGCCCTGCCGTTGGCTCAAGCCAGCCCGCAGGGGAGCAGGAGTGGGGCCTCACCCAGCAGGGAAGGCCTCCGTGGCTGCCCCGTACAACCTACAGCCACTGAGTAAGTTGGAAGAGAAGGAGAGATTCTGGTTGGGTGAGAAACTGATTGCCTCCGGTGCAAGTGAGCTGGGAGAGCAGGACACACAGGAGAGGTTAAAGAGCAGGAGCAGAGAGAGAGAGGAAGGCTGGAGAGGCCTTTGCATTGGATTCCTCTCCTGCGGCCACAGCGCCACATCGCAAACATTTTCCCTGGCTGTGTCACACCGCCTGACCCCCCCTAACAACACGGCCAGACAAAGGAGGGCTTATGTGTGAAGGTGTTCACTGCGGCATCGGTCATGTTCCCCAGATTTGGAAAGCTCCTAATTACCCAACAGTATGGATACAGAAATAATGGTTCTATGCGGAATCACTTTACACAAAACACAAATGACATGGGACAAACAGTTGTATTACTGATTGGGAAAAGCAGAGAGCAGAATTCTATAAATTATGTGATTTGTGAAAATATGGATATGATTGGGAGCACGCTAAAGGGAACTCGGAAATGAGAACCATTTGTTGGAAGGGTGGAGTGGATGTTTTGCTTTTGTAATTTCCTGTGGTAGGTAACAGTAAATCCAAATCTATTCAAAAATGCAGGTGTCTCTGGCGGACTGCCGGGTTCTCAGGCTCGGATACACCTTAAATCACACAGCTTCCAAAACAACCACTGCCTAAGCCCCAGTGGAGCAGTAAAGTCCAAATTTCCACGGCCATGGCCCTGGGCACCGGTGTTGCCACATCACCGTGTTTTAGAAGTTCCATGAGGGATAGATACTGTGCACCCAGGTTGAGTACCACTGGGTGAGGCTGTGCTTGTGCATGTCCACGCACCTGGTTCAGCCAGATTGCTGTCCTCACCCCACATTGAGAACAGCTGAGTGAGGAAATGGGAGACCTGTTTGGGGACTGGAGGGAGGCAGGCCATCTGGCACTTGAGACGCCATTGGAGGGGTGTCTAAGGCAGACCTGAGTGATGTACCACAGAGATACGCTAGGAAGATGTGAGGATATTTTGAGAGTCAGAGAACACCTCTGCCCACGTTCCATCTTTCACCTGGCAAGCTCTCCTCTCCCTTCAAACCAGTTCTCTTCTCATCCATCCCCTCAAGAAGCCTTCCCCGCCTGCCCCCATCGCAGCCTAAGATCACTTCACGTCCTCTGTGCCCCCTAGCACCCTGTGGGGATCTTTATCACTGCACTTAGTAGGTTGTGTTACCATGTTCTCTTTGCATCTGTACAGTGCAAATGGGCACTTCACCTTGTTCATTCTGGGTCCCTGGTGCCTGGTGCAGCGCTTGGCTCATAAGAGATGCTAATGAACGATTGTTGAATGAGCAATCGGTCATAGAATAATATGTAAATTAGGAGTACATTAAGGACAAATTTACTTATTAGGCAAATATTCAAGAGGTTTCTGGTGTTCTTAGCACTGTAGTAAGCTTAGATGGATTCAGTGTTAAAAGTAACTGTTTTAAGTTGACCTAGGGAACTAGTCATCATTCGCAATATTATTTCTGTGAGAGGAATGAAATTTATTCTGTTTCAAACAGCCCACTTCCAGATGAGCATTCAGATCATGCTGTGTTCCTGGTTTAAGGATCGCTTGTACTTTCCGCAATGCCCCAAGCTGAGGAACGGCTACCAATGACTGGCTGAGCTGTCCGGGGAATGTTCCTTTCCAGCAGTTTACCCTCTAACAGGACAATTCCACAAGCTCCATCTGGAGCTACACCATTTCAGTCCTGGATCTACACCATTTCAGTCCTTTTTCAAAATGTAGCATTTAACTTTTTTCCCTAATAATTTCATCAGTCGATGGGGCAGATATTGCAGCCAATGTTTAAACCAATGGCTGACACTCACACGGTGCCTCACTGCCAGGCCCTTCCTAACTGCTCCATTCATCAATGTCCCTTTCTTCTTCCCAGGAGCCTCAAAAGATCCCAGCTGACCCTGCCCTAAAGTCAGAAAAAAAAAAAAAAAAAAAAAAAA